GAAAAAGGCATAATTCTGAGTAGGGCAGTGCAAAATGAGTCATTTCTATTTAAATGGTGCATTAAATAGCCTTACATTGCATCATTTTTGAGGTATCGTCGTCGCGCAATTTTCTTTTTTAAAAGGCAATAGTTTGTCTTCTTGTATCCTGCTTTGATCTTTTTCCACGTTGATTCAAGAAATATCATATTAGAATTTTCTAAGTGGTTTTTATCGTCTTCTAATTTCATTGCTTTTGCCCACTTATGAGGCTCGGCGAACAATATTTATATCTTCTTCTTTATGTCTGTATGCAAGCCTGTCTCAGACGTCACTTAGGCACTTTTGTCTGACCAACGCCCAGTTTCCCTGTTCTACAGTCATGTGGGCAGAGGCTGACCAAGCGCCAGATGTTAGCGACTCGAAGACTCCGAATCTCTCGCCTGGCCGGAGCACCAAAGCTTGGCGAGAATGGGGCAAGAGGGTAGCAAGTGTGGCCTAAGGGGGCGGTTGGAGGGAAGAGAGGAGTCGTGGACTGGGGTTCGACCAAGCCGGGCGTCATTAAGGATGCTGGAGGTAAAGAAGCAAAGGGATTGCGTGTGTCTGTTTGGCATCAGGAGAACTTCCGCTCTCCGTCCTGACACCTGGGGGCAGGGTGAAGCTAAAGGCGCGAAAATGTCTGCAGAAGGAACATGTTAACTCACGCCTCGTTAGCTGCATAAACGACCAGTCGTCCAGTCGACTGTTTCAGATGCCCCACCAACGCGCATCGGTCCTCGGGCCTAACAGAGTGACCCAGGATTTAGTTGCAGCCCGTCGAGTTAGGGAGAACATGTCCACGAGCCTGACATGCTTGCACATTTTGTAACAGGATGCGTTGCTAATTGTCGCGTGGGTACAAGTATGAGTTGTGGAGACGGAGAGGTGAGGGTTAATCAAATGTTAAGAAGTAAATGTTAAGCAAGAGTATGTCAATAGCTTATTACCAAAGCAAAGATGGCTGTTGGATCAGGGTAATAATTTCGAAAGTAAAAATTCCATTTTAGAATGTGGTAACTTTGTTCGACTCCGATATATACTCTGACTTTATGCCTAAAATTAAAGCGATATTTTCCTTTTATTTGTCATGGTCAAGAGAAGTGAAAAACTCGCGTGAAAATAGATCAGGTATGCAAATTAATTGGTGCATGCAGCTGACCAAAAAGTAGAGAATTTTCTATCTAGCCTACTCATTTGGCTTATAAGTGGACTAAAAATGTGGAAATCGCTGAGAGTTATAGAAACCTAAGTCGAGTGGAAAAATGCTAAAGGAAAGATAGTTGAAATTTCCCACAATGCTATGAATGGAGCTCTCACTGCCATTTAATTAAACTTATGCTTAGTTCGCAAAAGATAATCTCTTCCAGGGTGAAATGAAGTTTCGAACTCAACTGTGTCTCATCAGAACCCCAACGGGATTTGAATCCGGGCAAAACAATTAGGTCGCAAGGAAAGCTATGCCTCTCCTATGTAAAATTTATTTTGCTATTGTTGATGAGGTACACATATAAATTTCCTTCGCAACCTATCAAGCTACTTATTTCCTTTGTAAGTAGATATGTCGGCTACCACCAGTACTTCACCACCGTATACTTCTTAGGGTGACTATAACTCATATCCAAGATTTATCGAAGGTGTAAAAACATACCCATTCTGAATATAGGATGGAGTGTCGTCATCGAATAGTCGAGCCATGCTTTGGCAGATGAATTTAGAATTTCCTGCATGAAGAGTAAACAGCTTCAAACAGACCTCTCAAGAATCTTGAAAAGTTAGTTCCATCTCCTACCACAGACTACAAACAGAAGTTATAGCCCTTTTAAACTTAGAATAAGATTATATTCA